GTGGGCTCTCTTGGCAAAACTTCACTCACAGTTGAAGCCTCATGACATCGTGGTTCTGCTATTTGTTTACCAGCTCCAAAAGTACATGATTGCTTTCTTGATTTGACCTTTTTACATGTTCATTATTGCATCATTGGAGAGGGAGACTGCCTAGGAGGCAAAATTCACGACAGACTTGGGCTCTGTATTCCCAGTGAATACTTGTGGTCATGGGTGACCTTCCTGCATTTGTGATAGGCATCTTCAAGGCTGTTGTGATTCTGTGTTGTTGTGTTGGCCTGGAAAAATGGAACAAGGTCTTTGGCATTTGAAGAGAATCTTTATAGCAATGTCACTGGTTTATTTTACACAAAGGTCATTTTATATATGCAAACTAGTAATTTACTGAGGCTATACATGAATTTTAATAGGATTCTTGGCATATACTGAGGACAAAAATATTTTAGATACTTGTCTCTGGTGATGGCTTTAAGCTATGTATGCTGTCCAAGTTGATAGTTAATAGCCACGTACAACTTGTTCAACTTAAATTAATTGACATCAAATAAAATTAAAACTTTCTCCCTCAGTTGCACTAGCCACATTTCAAGTGCTCAGTAGCCTCACACTAAATTGAACAATGCAGATGTGGAACATTTCTATCACTGCAGAAAATTCTATTGGACATTGCTACTTTAGAGCATACTCTGATAATATCTTTGAAATCATTCAAAACTAATATGATGAATAAAGTATTTGATAAAACATTGTATAAAATCTAAAATAAGGAACAGTAAATAAGACCTTTTTTCTTGTGTGGTTTGTAAACTATAATACCAGGATCATCCCAATATCATGAGCTTCCAAATTGTTTTGATTAGTTTGTTGAAATAAATGTATTTCCTTGCAAAAATGATGATTTAAAAGATAACACTTTTTGGATATTTGTATCTGGTACATTTGTTTTAAAAAATCATCTCTTTATGACTATACCTTATTCAGTACCTCTTCATTCATTTGCTCATGAATTTATGTATGAACAATTATTTATTAAGTATCTGTGTTAGGTCCTGGGCTATACAATTGGGAAGCCAATATAGATATGATTGAGCATACAGTCAGAGGAAGGAAACATGTTTAATAGATGACTCAAATTATTAATTACAGTTGTGATGAGTGTTAGCAAATGAAAGTTTTGGGGTCCAAGGAAGTCTTCCCTGAAAAAAATATTAGCAATAATATCTGAAGGATGATTAGAAGTCACCTGGGGAAGAGATGAGTAGGAAGTATTCCAGGCAGAAAGAAAGCGAAAGAGCAAGACTCTCACAGCAGGAAGTAGTGGGATACCTCCCAGAAATTGGATGGAGAGCAAGAGTGCCATGTGTTGAATAAAGATGGTAAGGAGTGGTAGCTCATGGGGAAAGGGAATACAAAAATGAATATATGCATATTCATATATGGCTGAAAAATTCTGCTGTATGCCAGAAATTGACACAGCATTGTAAACAGACTGTAACTCAATACATTAAAAGAAAAAAGATGGTAAGGGAGATGGTAAGGGCAGTGCCTTATAAGTCAGGCTGGGGATTTTAGTTTTTATCCTAAAAGCAATGGGAAGTCAGTGACATGATCAGATTTGTGTTTTGGAAAGATTGCTCTAGCTGCATTGGGAATAAGAGCAGGTGTAGGAGATGAGGTAGGAGGTTATTCCAGTAGTTTGGAAAGAGGGAAACACTGGGGGTTCTGTTTTTGAAGAATTGTTTCTGAGGTATTAGACATCCAAGGGGAAACATCAAAGAAGCAGTTGGACAATCAGATATGGACCTCAGAGAAGAGAGTTTTAGACTCGTGCTGCTGAACAGAAATATAATTGCAAGCCACATTTTAATTTTTCCAGGAGCCACATTTTAAAAAAGCATAAGGAGAGAGGTGAAATTAATTTTAGTAATATATTTTTATAAGCCAGTACATCCAAAAGATTATTTCAAGATTTCATCAAAATAATTATTGAGATATTTTACATTCCTTTTTTCATACTATCTTTAAATTCCAGTATGGTTTTTAACTTGAAGCACAATTCAGAGTAGTCACATTTCAAGGGCTCATTGGCCACATATGGCTAGTGACTACCTTATTGGCTATCTTAGTGGCTATCTTATCAGCACAGATCTAGACTAAATATGTGTCTGATGTCAATAATGTATTGAAGCCTTGGAAATTGATGTGATCATAGGAAGTGGGTAAAAAGTAAGAAAAGAAAAAGACAAGGACCAAGTCATGAGGAATTCTATCATTTAAAGGTTGAATAGTATAAAAGTTCTACCTAAAGCATAGTGATAACATTGCTTTATATAGTGCTTTGTAGTTTATAAATCATTTCCACACACATTTCTACTTTTTCTTCCCAGGAATGCTGTGAGGAATGAAAGATTGTCCTCATTTTATAGATAACAAAATGAGGGTCCTTGAGGTTCTCTTACCCAAGATGGAGGTGGAGCTAAGACAAGAACCCAATTTTCTGACCTAAAGACTAAAATTCTTTCCATTTGTCTTGGTTTTTCCAAACAACAGGAATCAAATGCAGGATGTTTATTTTGGGAAGTGGTGTCAGGGAAACAGGGAAGGAAGGAAAGCCATCCAAAGAGGGTG